TTGAAGTTGATTAACGAAAATTATTATTTATTTGTTTTTCGGACATCTGTTAGTGTCGCAGTCTTGTTTCTAGAAATATTATTGCCTTTGTTCAAATACATAACCACATAAACTAAAACAAGAGAGCTACGCCCAAATATATGGACACGTCTGTTCGCAGTACAGTACGGTGTACCGTACCGTCAGATCACAGTCTACAAATATATTCACACCAAGCGAAGCAGGACACAAAATGGCGTCCGATGGAACGTTAAATGACGTCATAACAAACAAAAACAAATCTCACAGAGCTAACAGGTATATTTAAAATAAATAAAAGTAATAGCCTTCTGGGGAAAAATTTTATCTTCAACCACTGAAAATTTCAAAGCAATTGGTCCAGTATTCGAAGAGAAAAGCGGTTTTTTAATATTTCCACTAGGTGTGTTATTCTGTGTCAAATAACAACAAGAACAACATATTATTGAAACGATCGTTATGTCCACTACGTGTCCAAAAAGACTAATTGTAATATTTCTGTTCACTATGTTATGTACATACTGTAGTGTACATAATGTACATTCATTTAATTTTCTTTACTTTTCCGGTAAATGTCTAAGTGAGAAATAACTGATTTATTTGTGTTTTTGTGCTCACGATGTTAATTTGTGACTTCATTGCTTAAAAATGATTACGTTTGATAGCTTCTATAAAATGAATGCAACCTCTTATGCTGTTCTTGTTGTAAACTGCTTGTCACCGATCACATAAAATTTATTCGCTAATCTGAATCAGCGTTGTTGTTGTCGCTGCTTGAAGACCTTTCGAGGTCCCTCGCGACTCCTGTCACACAAAGTATTTTTTGTTGTTGGTTGCATGTATGGCATATTTTTCGTAATCTACCTAATAAATTATGATTGACTGAGAAAGTCTGATTTTGGTCAGGCAAGACGTTACAGAAATACATTTGTGTCAGTGTGCTGTAGGGCTCTAGAATTGCATAGTTCTTATGCTGCGTTGTTGTAAACCTATGGTTATTGAATTTCCGGGAACCCCTTATATTCAATTTCGCATCAGGATTGTGGAACAAGCTGTAATGCGTTTAGTATGTTCATTTTCATACAAAACTAAAGAATTTATTTAGTTTCCAGATGTGCGCTACGAAACTCATTTTCTGGGCGTTTTTCAAGGCCTCGTCTCACGGCCCATATCCGTGGTATAAGGATCTACAAATGTTTAATAACTTACTTATACTTTTTAACAACGTCTTAGCATAACTTAACTAATAATAACAGGGCTAAGGAAAAGCTACCCAACTCAACGCAAGATCGAGCAGTAATAACTAAGATTCATCCGCTCGCTAACAGCTGATTCAATTCAATTGTTACGTCATGCAGAAGTCATTGTTCATTGCCGGAAATGTAGAGAATATAGGGCAGATCGTAGCACATATTTCTTGTCGTAAAAGCGTCTTTTCCGTCAAACGTGCAACTTTTGGAAGTGGGAACAAAGCATTATTTGTTAGTAAATTTCTAAGAAACATTTTAGAATTATTCCCAGGTAGTTCCCTCATGTGCGCTACCAAACTCATTTTCTAGGCGTTTTTCAGGGCCTCGTCTCACGGGATCAGAGATGCGGTGGCGAGCGTATTCTTAGATGGAGAATTCAATTGAATTCTGGTTATTTTTTTGCATTAGCACTGGCGTTAAACTTTAGTTATCTATTCAACTTTTCACACTTACTGATAGATTACCTGCTAACTAGGAAAACAATACCTCATGGCAATTATTGATTAATACCTTACACGAGTCAAGTCTGCAAGTAGGCCTACGCCTAGGCCTACCAATAACAGTAGTTTGTCATCTGCTTTCCATTAAAATGAGGGAGCTTATGAATATTTAAAAATTTGATAACGACACATGATGACTCACCATCAACGAAGTGCTGTCCGCAAACAGTGAAACACAAGTGAGATGGCTTCTGGACTTGACACCAAGCAGTCCTGCCTATAGATGATATCCACATTGCGCGACGTTCCGGATCTTTTGAAAACAGTGGAATATAACTGAAGATCCATTTCGTTGTCTATACCAGTGATTCCCAAAGTGGGCGATATCGCCCCCCAGTGGGCGAAAACGATACAGAGGGGGGCGAAAAAGTTGAAGGGGGCGATAGGGGGGCGATTTCGCGAAACCTGTTTTATGTTCGGCGCACTTAATTCTGTAATCTGTGTGCATTCGCAGGCTTGAATCACGTGGGCGATTATCACACGCGAAAGGATTTCTGGACTCGTCTTCGCAGTAAGGTACGATAGTTGCGTATCCCAGTGGTCGGCAAAATACGGCCGGAGTAAAATAATCTGGCCCGGGACGATTCACTGAATGGACCTTTCCCCGTTCTTTGACCGCGGAAAATTCTTCCCGTACTTTACCATTTTAAAATTTTCGGTGTTGATTTTAGGTGTGGTTTCGCGAGTTGTTGCCTGTAAAATGGGGTATTTGTTTCAAACTATCATTCTAATACACACCATTCAACAATCTGTTTTTTAAATATACCGATAAAGAATTTGAGCCTAGTCTATCACAGCTATTTCTACACTAATTTTTGATTCCTGTAATTTAACTGAAACTCATAAAAAGACAAGATAATCATTGATTTATATTTAAATTTCCGAAAAACAACTAAAAACTAACGAACATAATTCAAAATCGCGAAACTGAGGTAATGTTCACGACCACGCCTGAGAATCTGTCTAAGTGAGCGTGTCTGAGCGGATGTGAAAGGAGGCATTGTCACGTTTTTTGCATCTCTCTGATTGGCCAATGTTACGAAGTAAACAAGGAAGTCTATGTAAACATTCAAACGGCGGTTTTGACAATGAAATTTTTTTTATTTATAATCTACGCTCGAGAAGTAAATTACATTTTTTTACGTAACAGAATTTATCGTGAGACACGTTTGGACTAAATTTTATTATATCCTAAAGCAAAGAACTGGGATTAGTGATTCCCATTTATAGAAATATTCCAATCTTGGCGTCGTAAAGCTATCCAGCGTGATGCAGCAACAAGACAGTGTCACATTAAATGTCATTGTAATATTTTTTTAATAAGACGACTGAGTTGAGTTCACGAAATGTCGCAGTTTTTGCGCACTGTTCCGTTTTTAACTTTCAAAAAATTTATGCGACCCGCAAAAGACTGGCAACCCTGAATTTTGTCCCGCGAGCGACATAAAATTTGCCGTCCCCTGGGCCGTAGCCGATAGTCGATCACAGTCCATGAATCCAAAAACAAATGCTGATTAATTATGGACTGGTGATCGGACTGGAGGCCGTGGTAGGATGAGGAATCGGGGATGAATTTTACCAAAGTATTTTGGTGCATGTCATCATGCTGTACGAATGAATGAGATGTACAAAAATCATTATTATAAGTTTGGGAAAATTAACTTTGTTTTCATTATTTTAATGTGAAATAGAGTGAATTTAGGAAGTGAAATACTATAAGGCAAGAGTACACGGCGGTTTTTGAGGAGGTAGAACCCTGGATTCTTTCATTTCCGACCTAACATATGGTGACAAAGGGGTTTTCAGCGTGCTACTATTGCTATCAAAACAACAAAATAGCCTTTCCACCAGTAAACAGGGTAATTTTAGACACAATAAAAAAGAAGCTGAAGAACACCAACCTAATCTATTTCATTAAAAAACACTATAAACTAGGATTTGTCTTCTTATTTGGTCTGTAATAAATTCGTTTCTGACTTTACATTTTTTTGTATTGCCGGGGGCGATGAAGTTGTATGAACTACTATAGGGGGGCGATTGTCAAAAAAGTTTGGGAACCACTGGTCTATACTATACGTAAGGCCAACAGAACAATACGAAATAACAATTTTCAACAGCCAAACAAAACGGAAACGTATAATCCGACTTGCAACTGACAGGAGCCAAATGGACGTTTTTGTTTTATTGCCGTCCAGTAACAAAGTCACGTGACCCGTGCAAGTCCTCTATATGACCAGCGCTGGATTAACCATTAAACAATAAAAGCATGTGCTTAGGACACCAAGCAAAAGGGGCACCACAGAAATTTTTATACATAATTTCCAATGATTCATCGATGTTTATTAAATTATTACGAGTTCGCCCGCAACTCAGTCTTGAAAATATTTGTATTTTTTTTCAAGTATCATATTAGGCTTCTCTATTAATGTATCTATTGTAGGTTTGCGAACTATTTTCAGAAAAAAAGTCGCAAAATAATCACAACTTGGCCACCAACTAGTAACAAACACTGAAACTTACATATTGGACACGAAATAGTCCAATAGATCTGAGAATAGATTTGTTAATTAAATTGTTGTGTTTGTATTATTAGTATTCTCCTTGTTGTATTTTTGTTTTGAAAAAAATCTCTTTTCCCTTTCAACTATTGGACCAATTGCTTTTTGGTTAAAGATTGTTGTTACCGCTAGAACAAGGCTATTTATTTGATTCATTTCAAAAAAATTTCGGTCTCATGGGATTCGTTTTCAGTCGGAAGTTTGGTGGCGACATCAAAATTAAGCATGACGCTTTGTGGGGGTTCCGCGATCGTAGCAATGCTTTTTACAGGGGTGGACCACCCCCTTTTTTTAAACGTAAAAAAAAAACATTTTTCTGTATAATACGTAGCAATGCTTTGTAGGTTGACTCTTTTTAGACCCTTTTGAAAACCGACGTTTTTCGGCCTCCGGACAGACCCGCTAGTTGTTAAGGTCAATTACGGACTTGGCAATAAAAAATTTCAAGCCCCTTCGAAAATTCCTGGCTTCGCCCCTGATGACATACAATTGTGGAGAAGATAATGATGAATATAAGATTAATCAGATAACAAAGCTGTTTTCAGAACATTCCTGGCATAGTTTTATGTGTATCCAATTTTCTCAAGGTATCAGATGCAGATAAACAATCTCACAGAAGAAGCGTTTTTTATCATCTAAATTTCAGAAAATTGTGTGGAAAAAGTTCAAAATTCGCATTAGCAACATATTTTTAGTAGCAATTTACTTAACATAGCTAAAAGAATCATCGACAATATCTGAATATTTTACATTTTAAACTATTTTTATTAATGTGAATAGCAGATATCATTCATCTGACAAAACTCAAATCAATGAGCAGAATGAGATTTTTGTCCACTGGAATAACATGACATTCTATGACATCATAGGCAAAAAGTAATATCCTCAATGTACTGACCAGAAATCCTCCATGTTTACATATGAAATCAAAATGATAAATGTGAAAAGAGATGTGTGATGGTCAATGATCTAGAAGCAAACCCATGACACTGTGATGGCTACTAATATTGCAGTCCATGATGTGCACCACGAACTACTACATTTGAAACAATATTTTTATTTTTGCTGCGATTGTTGTATGAGTTTTGTTTGAAGAACTTCTGTAACCATTTGTTTATTTTGAAATTTTTGCTGCAAAATAGTTTGCAAAGACTCCATTTGTCGCTTCAAGTAATCAACTTTTCTATTAAAATATTCTTCAGCATCTTTTGTTTTCTTTTCAACATAATATCCTGTTCCAATATCAACCATGACATTTTCTGTTTCATTGAGATTTCCTGGGACATAGAGACAACCGGACATCGGCACCAAAATTTCTTTACCTTTTTCAGATTTCTGCAAAAGCTCCAAACATGATTTAGATTCTGCAAACTGGGATTGTGCAGATTTCAGTGATTGAAGACTGTTACTTAATATGTCAACTTCTTGCTGCATTTGCTCAACAAGATGTTTTAGTTCGTGTGTTGGCAATGCTGCCAAATTTATCTGCTGTGGAGCACTAGTCATAATTCCAGTTCCGCTATATATAAATAAGCAAGTAAATATTATTTTTTTGATCCTGTAAAAAGAAACACAAGCACCTGATTAGAGAGAAAATTTGGGTTTTAGAGACTGGTATCAGCAAGTAGTATAAAAAATTAGAAGAGTAGATATAGCTCTGTTTAAGTTGAATTAACTTAGAAAGATTATGCTTTTACAATCATTGTGATACTTGCTCCATGCCAATCTCAATTCTCTTCTATTATACTTCTTGTAAAGAATTTTTGGTTTGTGTTGTGAACATGTACAAGGATTCTCATCATAAGTTGGATATTATACTTATTTTTAATCTGTATGCAATTTCTATGAGATCACTAAAAAAAGGGAATCGCTGACTAGGTGCTTTTATTTGACACTTTAGGAAAATAGTTCAGTAACCAGTAGTTTATATTTTACCATACTGAAAATAGGCACAAACATACAAACTGCAATCAATTATAAACAGGCCATATTGCAGGGTGGAGGAAACGCGAAAAACCAGTACTGGTTATCGAGCAGCGGCACCCATAAATAAGTCTAACACTATATTATAAAGAAGAAAAAGTTGAACTAAGTATATGTATAATGAAAAAAAACAAAAACACAAAATATCACAAGGCTATCTGCTATAACCAGCAGTCGCTCACTTCACCAAAAAAAAAATGACTCCGAGCACCACTAACTCGATAACTAAGGAGATGAAAGCAGTGGGCTATATAACAACAATACATTGTGAGATGTGCATTGTCTAACAATGGGCAATAAACCTAAGATTGTGATGGTGCAGAGTTACAGTGGAACCCACAGTATGCTGAGGGTGACCACAACAGGATCACCAACGAATAGTTACATGATTAGCTCTAGCCACAGCCACAAAACATGCATTTAGGTTGTTTCGTTGTCGTATCAAAAAACTTTGAAAATGGCTATGGAGCCAAAATCCAGTTCTAAGGTGAAATATTTAGTTTAGATGCAGCATGAATAATTTACCATAAATCCCAAAATAATATTGTCATATTGAAAATGGGTAATGTTTAAAAGGAGACAAGTCTGCAAGTGGAAGTCGGTGCATTTTTTGGTAATATTCAAAGATTTCAATTGATTAGATTGGTAGTTTTTTTTTATAAATAAAACTGGTTAAAAGTACTCCTGGAATCAAGCATCTAATATGTTAAATTTACTTAATCTTGAATTGATTTGAATTCTCTCAATAAACTCAAAAGTGCAATATATATCTGCAATATAGAGTCATTGCGGCAAATAAAATTTTTTTTTGTAGTTGAACAATGAACATGCATATTGGCTTTATAAAAATCGAAACTTTTTAATTACTTCAGTTTTTTATGATAGGATCTCAAACTGCCTCTCCTAAGTATCGCTTATATTTTTCTGTTCTCAGTAGCGGCATACAACTCTCAGTTACCAATCAAGAATTTCATGTGATAAAAATGAACTAAGATAAAGTTTGGCAATACATTTTGGGGGGAAGTCTTATTAGCTTGTTTGAGACCCCAATTGTCATAAGACTGTAAGAGCAAGGCTGTCCAACGTAAAATAAAAAGTCAACAATTTCTTTGGTACTGGTCCTGGGACTTTTTGTCCATTTTTGTTAGTATTTTTTATCTAATGTTTGGGTTAAATAAGATTTCGGAAATGTCGTCACTGCGTATCCGTCAATAATTCAGATGAAATTGACTTAATTGCATTGCTGCATATTGGTCACAAATCAGCATATATAGGCTATTCGTCCAGAAATCTTTGTAATGTTACTTCAATAAATACTTGTAACTGGTGTTTCAAATTTTACAGAACGGCCCACATAACCTGATATTCCCGCGCTGCTCATTTAAACATTGCTACTGAAAAGTAATGATTAGAAACACAAATATACCCCTCAATGTCGACGTGATGTGTATGTTCTCGCGTGGTCGTCAGAAAACCGCAAGTGTCATGTCCACGACCCGTGTTACCAGATATTCGATAGTAAACTGCTATTCTAATATTCAACTTGATATTCGAATAATTTGCCAGCCCTACTCAGTAACCAGAAAGCAATTATTGAATTGATTGATTATTTTTGATAAACTTGCCTTTTATGTATTATGTAAATTACCTACACCGAAATCCGGACTTAGCTGGTATTAATGTTTGGTACAAACGTTTGCGGCCCGCAACGAATTTCGTCACATGAAAGTGGCCCGCGAGACGAAAAAGGTTGGGCAGGCCTGCTGTAAGAGGGTATGCCGATCTAGACGCGCAGAACAAAATCAGTAGGAATTATATATCAAACAAAAAAAGCATTTAATCATGAAAATTACACTCAAATCAGGACAAACATCACCGTACATTTTCAATTAATTGTCAGCAAGTGAACTTTTGACATTAACTTTTTATTCAAACTAGACTACGGTACATATGCAGCTATGTGAAATTTGTATACTACTGCTGTCCCGTACGCCACGGTACCATACCAGTATCTTAAACTACAAACACGAAATGCCACAGTAGGTAGGCCTACCGATATCACGAAAAGTTGTGCCTCACTTGGTGACCTACGGCAGGGCTAATCAACTATTTTTATCGAAGATCCGCATACAAAATTAAAAAATATTGGGGTCTTTCCAGAAATTAACTCACTCCGGTCTTTTCAGAAATTATATTTCAGCATCCTTAAACATGCGCTTCCTTGGCCGGCTAATGATTATTAGCTAATCAAGATTGTTTATTATGGCGTTATAGTTCTTTTCATATATATTCAGATCTATAAAAGTGATTTAATAAAAGGAAACTTCGAAAGTGGGGGTCTAGTATAGTTTAGTACCACAAGTACTTCCGGTGGGCGCAGCATAACGAATTTTGCATATGCTATTCCTAACCCCCACCTGACTATGCCATCCAAAAATTACGTCACTACGACGTCCCCCTCACGTCATAGGGATTGCCAAAGTATAATTACGATCGCCCGAAATGACATCTGCGCCGACGATAACGAACTTGCTAAAGCCGGCGATCTCTCTCTTATAGTGATCGTTGTGACGAGAAAACGAGAGAAATTGCTTGCTCGATTTCGGGTGATCGTCTGCGCGTTTTGGACGACCATCCGCATACTTCAGTGGGTATTGGCTGACGTCAAAATGACGTGATTTTTCGGTGACGTAGCCAGGTGAGGGTCCGAATCGAATACCCAAAAGGTCCGAGGTGGTCCGCCAGTTGAGTAGGCCTGACCTACAGTAAGGTAATTGATGAGTTTTCATTATTGCTTGATAAGTAGGCTATAAGTTTCTTTTTCTGTTGATCTGGGCGTAGCATACCAATTTTTTCATGTGTCAATCCTAACCCCCACCTGACCACACCATCCAAAAATTACGTCACTACAACGTCAGAGTGACGTAATGGAGCCCTTCAGACTATGCGAACTGTCATCCAAGACGCGCAGACGAGAACCCGAAATCGAACAGCCATTTCTCTCGTTTTCTCGTCGCAACGATCCCAAAAGGAGAGAGATCGCTGACGTTAGTCAGGTTCTTTATCGTTGGCGCCGATGCCATTTCGGGCGATGGTACGAGAATTTGGCAAGCTCTATGATGTGATTGTGTCGTCGTAGTGACGTAATTTTTGGATGGCGTAGTCAGGTGAGGGTTAGGATTGGCATGTCAAAAAATTGTTATGCTACGCCTATTAGAAGTACCGTACGTTAGGTACGAAACTACACGAGACCTGAGTTCGGCTACATTGCAGCATTGAGTGATATTGTTGTGGTACCGGTACCGTATGCTTACTTTTGTTATGAAAACAAGCAGTGATGAAAATAAACTTAAGTTACCGTACATATACTACAGTACCGGTACGGTACTACGGTAAACATACACCTGTCATGGTGGGTTGCGGTACCGTTGGCGACTGGCGTTGACATGCAAATATAACCATGGTTAACTGAATAATATAACGACAACCAGAACTTTACTCAATGTTGACATCTTGTGACTCTCTGCCATGTGCCCAGTTTTTTTGTCAACTAGAAAAAAGGAGCAAGAAAATTGCGTTATAGTTGTTGTTGTATTAGTATCTTTCCACTTTTCTTAGGGCATCCCGAGGTACATTTTTAGGTTTGGTATCATTTGAGAAAACATCTTATGCAAAGACCAGTAATATTACCAACCTATGGATTTACAAAGCTTACTGTAAATATTTGTGAATATGCCTTTATTACTACTAGACCGCGAGCCGAGGCCCTGAAAAACGCCTAGAAAGTGAGTTTCGTAGCGCACATCAGGTAACTACCTGAAAATGATTTTAAAATGTTCCTTAAAAATTTAGTAACAAATATTGCCTTGTTCCCACTTCCAAAAGTTGCACGTTTTACGGAAAAGACGCTTTTACTACAAGAAATATGTGCTACGATCTGTCCTATATTCTCTACATTTTCGGCACTGAACAATGACTTCTGCATGACGTAACAATTGAATTAAACCAGCTGTTAGCGAGCGGATGAATATTAGTTATTTCTGCTCGACCTTGCGCTGAGTTGGGCAGGCTTTCCATAGCCCTGTTTAGTTATTATTAGTTAAGTTATGCTAAGACGTTGTTGAAAAATGTATAAGTAAATTATTAAACACTTGTAGATCCTTACCACGGATATGGGCCGTGAGACGAAACCATGAAAACGCCCAGAAAATGAGTTTCGTAGCGCACATCTGGTAACTAAATAAATTCTTCAGTTTTGTGTGAAAACGAACATAATAAACGCATTACAGCTTGTTCCACAATCCTGGTGCGAAATTGAATATAAGAGGTTCCCGGAAATTCAATAACCATAAGTTTACAACGCATACATAAGAACTATACAATTCGAGAGCCCTACAGCACACTAACACAAATGTATTCCTGTAATGTTTTGCCTGACCAAAATCGGACTTCCTCAGTCAATCATAATTTATTAGGTAGATTACGAAAAATATGGCATACATGTAACCAACAACAAAAAATACTTTAATTGTGTGACAGGAGTCGGGAGTGACCTCGAAAGCAGCGACACCAACAACGCTGATTCACATTTGAGAATAAATT